CTTCAACCAGGGACAATCTGATTCACTTGCGAAGTTGCGGAGTTGCGCTCCAGTGGTCTTGCCATTTTCCACTTCAGCCTGTAACTATCATGGGGAACTTCCACCCATTTCCGGCTTTTAATGACAAAACCATCAAAATAGATGTTACATTCGAGATGAGGATCCCCATGGCAGAATGTTTCATGACGCCCGAGTTTGTACAAAGTTCAGGTGGCAGGTCCGGCCTTTGGCGTAAGTTTAAGATGTGCCAGCTAGGTGCAAGCAGTTTGAGGCAGTTCAGATCTGAACCAAACTGACTGAACCATCTTCAATCATCCTCGTTGGTGAGCGGGTAAAAAGGCAACTTGTTTCAGCTGATTGATGTTAAGTCTCAAGCCCCTTCCAAAAATGAGGACGTTTTGCTTGCCACGGGGCTGACGCCCTGAAAAACTCATGGCGCTGCATCCCCAAAGTCACTTCGCATTGGCAAGACTAGCAAAACTCTAGCGGGCAAACAAGCGACGAAGGGTGAGGGTTCCGAAGAAAACAAAACAGACAACAACAGCGAGTTTCGGAGATCGGTCTATCCATTCAGGAAGTGAGTCCTTGTATGTCTGCGAGTCTCGTACATTTCGGGACTGCCCCAACTGAATGTCGCGCTTCTGTGTGGTGGACACCGCGGCTTTTTGTCCGAGAAAATCTATTTGGCGATGTTGATGCCCACACGCTTTCGAACAGATTCAAATTCAAGATGCTATGGGTGGAGAATATAGTGTCCGGTTTGTTGTCTTTGTTTGTCAATTCAGCATTCCAGTCATTGGCAATCATCCGCTTTGGCTCAAAGACTGATGTACGGCAGCATTGTCAGAGTGCGCAAAAAAAACCGTGTCCCTCAGCGCGGGTATACCCTCGACTTGCGCACCAAGCTCGACCGGGCACTCTTGCAGCCTTAGCTCCAGGGACAATTCTGAAAGGGCACATCATCCTCTAGGTCCCAAATATGAAGGCTTTGAACCCCCGAAGGCCTCGAATAATCATGTCTTGGGCTCCTCGGATCACTGCCCGCCCCCAACATCCTCGCGCTGACGGGAACATCATCATTGCCCCGCCCCACAAGACCTTCCGCCCCCACCCCACCCTCCAAACCGCACAAATTGCAATATTCCCGAGTGTCGTTTTCCACTCCAGCAAAAAAAACAGGGGGCGACCATCCCACTTGACCTGAAACCTGACCTTTGGGGCTGGTGTGGTTGAAAAAGGACCCTTTCCCGAAACCGTCACGTCGAACGCTTCTCTTCCTGCGAAAAAAGGTTAGAGGGGAACAGAAGCGCCACCCAGCTCGCGGAGTTTTAGCCGGCCTGATCTGATACGCGCGGCTCAGCACCGGGTCCAGCTCTATGGTGATCTTCTCCTCCCACCCGAAGTCCTGCGAGTTGTGGATCCAAAAATCCATCGAACTCCAACGCGGGAGTTCGAAAAGCGGAGAATGCGAGCTTTGGATCCACAAATCCACCGAAAACCCCTCCAACTGGGGAGTTCGAAAAGCGGAGATGCATGGCTCACAAACCAAGAAAACACGGCATGTGCCAGTGCAGGAAGGCTTCTTGGTATCCGGCTTCGAGTCCAACTTGGGCCTCTTCCTGAAACTGCTTTGCACATCTTCTGGGTGTGGGGTTCGACAAGACCTATGTCCATGCGTATGATACAGATGTCATACGTATGCGTGGTATGGTTTACAGTGGGTGCGCAATACTGCTGTCTCAGAACCTGGGAATAAATGGAAACTAGACAACGGACACACAAGGCGCACATTGTAGATGCTGCAAACATCTGTGAGCTGTTCTGAGTGTGTTTGTCTCGCAAACCCGGATGGCTTGCTGAAGAACCCTTCGGGTTACAAAGGGCGGCACGACATTCTATTCAGCTCATACTTCAAACTTCAAATGGGTGTCTTCTTCTCGAGGGTAGTCAAACTAAAAGGACCATCACATTTTTGTTAGGGGGGTCCCCGCAAAGACGGACCAAAATGGGCAATCAAGCAGGCCATGACTTGACTCATGATAGCAGTCACAGGCAATGGGACCTTTGCGGAAGAACGCAAACGGCCTCTACGGCAAAGTTTGACTCAAGATACGGCGTCATGCTTCCCCATGTGACGCGATCAATACATCCCGATTCGTGCTTCAGGACATGCCAGTGGATACATCTAGGTGAGTTATAATATTTCACCAATCTGAAACAAGGTGGTTGGGGGGCTATTCCCAACATAAACCACCATTTGGGGTGCGGTCGTGTGAGGTCGATATAATTCACCCAAATACATTGCAAGTGGCCTCCAGTACAAATGATGCCTCCGCAAGTCACTCACTGCTGGAAACGAAACGCCGCACTCACAAGGCCCGTTCAAGGCTGAGTTCATGCGCCCAAAGGGCCAAACTCCGCTCCTCCTCCAGAAAACGGACGTCGGCAAAGCGCTCCTAGGCGTTAAGCGCAAGCAGCATGTGAGCTTTCCAAAAATGGATGTTTCCCTGCTATTCCTTTACTCCTGCGGCGCTTCTCCTGAAATCAAAGAAATCTAGGCGGCATGTTCAGATGTATTATGGGAAATTCAAGAAGCTCGTCGAGCTTGACCTCCTGCTCTGAGGAAAAACCGGGGTCCTCCCTGGTTTTGCTTGTTTATCTGGATATGAGGGCCTGATGATGAACCCAACTCCAGAAAATTCCTTAGTTCTGGTCATACTCTCAACCGGCTTTTTGTGGATTTTGTGCAGCCGTGAACAATACACAAATCACTGAAAGGACCTCATTTGAAAAGGCCCGAATGGTTATCTAAAGACACGTACAAACGCAACACATAGGGGTGAGGGCGGCCGGCAAAACGGACACCGCGCCTGTGGCGCCTATGGGGCACCCCCTTCGTACAGTTGGATAGTTTGGGATGCGGCTTCCTATTGCCAGGATTTGTTTTCTTGGTGGCTTTTCAATCAACCGTGCCAGACTTGGCTCAAACTTTTTCTCTTTGGCTCACGCCTGTTGCGTGAGCTTAGGCAAACACCATCAGTTGGTGGGTGTTGGTGTCGATTTGGCAAAGGTAGTATTGAAAGCTTTCAGGGTGCTGATCCGTTGATGTGGGCATGCTGAGATATGCTGAGGCCTTTTGCTTGTGGGAACAAATTGCTAAAAGTGTTCAAGAAAAGTTGGAAAAAGCTGTCAACATGTTGGGACAAAGTTGGGACAACGGTTGGGACAAAGGTTGGGACATGTTGGGAAAAGTTCGGGAAAAGTTCGGGAAAAGGTCGGGAAAAGGTTGATTGGGGAAAAAGGTCGGGGAAAAAGTTGGGAACAAGGTGGAAAAGGTTGGGAGAAAGTTGGGAAAAGGTCGGGAAAAAGTTGGGAGAAGTTGGGAAAAGGTTCGGCAAAACATTAGGAACAAGTTGGGAAAAGGTCGGGACGAGTTGGGTAGCCGTTCAGAACAGGGAAAAGCTTGGGAAAAGTTGGGAAACGCGTGGAAAAGAGTTGGGAAACGGTTGCAAACAAGTTGGGATGAGGATCATAATGCTGCAAATACTTGTCTGATTTGAGTGAAAAAGCAGCTGCTGTGAGGGCCTTGCAGGGCTTGCACCGTGCGTTGTTGTTTTGGGGGAGCCCAGATCTTTGTAGGGATTTTCCAGGGTTAATAAGGATTATGTAGCTTTTCGTGGGGAGTGCTTAGCTTCTTGTGTTGTTTTTTTTCTCTGGTTTGTTGCGCCTAAAAACAAATCCAAAGAGAACTTTCTTGAAACGGTATAACTGGTACGCCGTTGAACGTGCATTGGTCAGGGTGTGTATGCTCGGGACAAAGGCGGAGCACGTTTTCGGAACACCCCAGGTATAAACAACCAACGATGTCCATTTGTCTTTGCACAGTTCCCCAAAGTCGATATCAAACAAATCCCCCAACTGAACATCGGCTTCCAAACAAAACCTTGCTGGTGCTCAGTAGGGAATGAGGGAATGAACCCAGGGCTCCCCTTCAAGGAAATCCGCGAGGATGACTTTCCTTGGGGTCATTTCAATTCTCATTCCTTGTTTCTCTCACACCGATCGCAAGAAAAAAACACCGAGTGCTTCAAGGCCCTAGATGCCGGCAAGCAGAGCTACGAAGCTATGACGTTCGGCCCCTATTCTGGGCTGCCCTCAGATCCCCCGATAAAAGTGAATAACTTTTAGTGGGTTAAATTCGGAAATCCAACCACTAAACACTAAAAGGCCAAAAGGCTAAGGAACCGCATGGCCTTCGGGAGCCACCAAGAATTTCAGCCGCGGCCCCGGCCCCCCGCTGGGAGCCCCCGGCGGCGGACCGCAGCTCGTAGTTCTGGGTCCGCTGGCCCGGCGGCAGCTCCGCTGGGCCGCCTCGAGTTTTCGAAAGCGAAGCGAGAGGGAGGCGTGGGAGGTGTCGACTTTTGAGGCCCTCTTTGGGAACTTGCATTAGGGACACCAGTCTTTTGAGGCGACTCCAAAAAGCTTGAGTTTAGTGGAAGGTGTCGACTTCTGAGGGTCTTTGGGAACCTGGATTGAAACGGATGCCAGCAGCTTTCTTGAGACCATACCCCTGTAATTAAGCTTTTCGGGAAGCCATAAAAGGACACCTTGACATTTTTTTGGGGGGGTCCTATTTGAGACAGAGCCACGTGTCAAAGGAGGTTAGGGGGTGGCTTGTCTGTGTACCCTCCAAAAGAACCAGGGGTTCAAATCCCAAACCACCAAGCAGGCAAAAAGAACACGGCACTGAAGCTTTCAAGCTTTGGGAGGGCATTGGAAATGGTGGACAAAGTTGCCCATCTTCTGGCTGCTCTTGGCTGCTCCAGGCCCCCGAAGCAAGAGAAAGGCCTGGGAAAGCCGGAGGAATTTTTTTGCGGCAGAGCTCTGAAGTCTTCGCCTGACCGCTTTGGGCTCCAGAAAAACCCGCCCAATCCCAGCAACCTCAGGCCTCAGCTCCCGGTTTTCGCGTTCAGTTCACCGCGCAAACCCGAAAGCCTGGCTCCATGGCAATCATTCTGTCGTGTATACTGCGCATGTTGATCCGGGTTGCAGCTACAACCCCCCTTGGGTCCCCAGGCACCACTGAGACTTTTTTCAAGAGCATGGGGAGTGGCGGGTGATGCATTCCCGAGTAGGGCTTCAAGCACATAGCTGACCTTCGAGGTTCTGCTCGTTCCACCAAGATAGGCCCATGAAGTGCCACGATTAGTTTGGCAACTCCAGAAATGAACCTTGATCAGGTTCCTGGCCCCATGAACTTCTCCCATGTGAAAGTCAAACCTTTGGTGGTTTCCCGAATGGAAACACCCCATGTCCATTGGACCTTTTGATCAACCCCCAAATCCCTGGCCCCTTTTTCCAAACACCGAGCTGCCCTGCGCTCCGCGCTTCCCTGGGCGCGCGGCTCTTTCCTCTGCGCTGACGCCACTGCACCGTGATCCGCACCTCGCCCGCGAAAGCCAGGAGCTCGCAAACCAAAACCGCCGTTGTCTTTCTTCCCGTCTTTCAGCGTGCGAAAAGCCGAACTCTGCTGTGCCGCACATCTCAACATAGCCTCGCTTCGCAGCGGCTCGCCTGCGAAACCGCCCCCTTTTTGGGCGAAGTTTTTGAGAACCGCTTTCGAGTTACGTGAATTCTTGGGCACCACCAGAGGTTCAAGGTCGTGGGCTACAGGAAAATACCGTTGGCGGTTACATAAACAAATTTCTACTTGAGCCTGGACGCACTGGGCGGTAAAGCGGAATTTAATTACTCAGTTCTCCCCAGAGGGAGCCTGCCGGAAACCAGACCCTTGCAAAGCGAGGCAACCGAGGCTGTTCTCCTGCGAACAACAAGTTCAGACCACCAGCCTTGGCCGCGACCACGTCTTAATTGGATAGACGTGTGGCTATCACCTGGAACAAACGACAAGAGCTTGCCGCTGCAAGGAGTCACTTCAAATTTCACGTGCCAATCTGTTTGTTGATTTCCCACTTGCTTCAGCCACTGCTCTTTTCAAGCTGTCTTGACGTGCATTTCATTTTTTGCTTCGGCCCGAGTAATGTCCTGAAAACATCTATGCGTGTAGATTCCTCCATCGACACGCCCGTCACCGAGTCTCCGAGCGCCAGTGAGATTCTCGAAGTGGAAGAAGCGCCCTGCTTGCAGCGTCCGCTGCTGAACCTGAATCACGCTGAAGGTTGCGGACATAAGCCTAGGTCCTCCAGCAGAGAGGTTCGAATTAGGGTACCCCTTGTTCTGTAGTCTGTTTTAGTAGAACCCTCCCCCAAAAAGGCACTACTGGGGGACCTAGAAGCAGAACCGCGAAGCCAAACTGGGGCAAACAAATATATAAACCCTCCTCGAACGGCCTGGAAATCAAACTGGGGCCATGCAAGCCGGTTGGTTTTCTCGGCGAAAAGGACAAGTTGGGCAGTTTTCCTCCAGCAAACGGCATACAACACATGGTCTCACGAATTGTTGGTTTGGAGCCCGATGGTTTGGTGGTTTGGTGGTTTGGGGTGGTTTACCCTCTGGAGCCAGAAACCACCAATCCAAACCACCCGTTCGGAATAGCTGACATAGGCGCTGACAAACAGCTGCATTTCATTTCCCATGGATCATGTGACTCACACCTTCGTGAACCGCGGATCAAGCCTTGCAGGGGCTCGAGCCGATCTGGGTTTTCGATTTTCTTGAGGTGAGGACGAGCTAGCAAACCACGTGTGGACAGCATGGCCGTGTTTGTTGTCACTTGGTGCTGCTGTCATGCGCCTGTCGAACAGAAAACAATTGTTGGCATTCCACAATGGAATGATCCATGTCAATGTCAAAGCCACCAGAGGGCTCCCCGAGAGAAATATGTTTATTCTAAATCCCATCAATGGTGCGGGTAGAGATGTACTTTCCTCAAATCAAGGACCCCCTTTGGAATGGTCTATGAAACCAAGAAACACAACACTGCTTTTGAGACCCCCTCCTTAACTGGGCTATCCAAACTGATCCCCTGCTAAAATGCTTGGAGTATCTTGGAGTCTTCATAGTGGGATGGCAACCCAACCACTAAACCTCAAAAAAGCTCAAAAAGCCTCAGAAACATAATTTTTGTTGGGTCCCGTTGGCGCCCATCCAACCCCCTCGAAGCGAATTGAATCGATGAGATCGCCTCCTCTAGCCCCTGGCGCATGGTGCGGAAGAAGTTCACCAGGACCTTGAAAAAGTTGGCTTCAAAGGGAAACCAAGAGAAAACCAGAAGGCCACCCGCCCCCCGGGGCACCATGGCAAGGGAGGGAGCATAAATCTCTGCACATGGGCGTCTTTGTAAAGGGAACCCCTTTGCTGAGATCGAAGCGGCAGGGCTCCCGTCGTTTCTTTTTGGTTTTCGACCCAAAGTGGCGGGTTCCTGTTGGTTTCCTTTCAGTTTGCTGGGTGAGATGCCCCTAGTGCCGGGATGTGGCGGGTGGCCTTCTGGTTTCCTTTTGGCTTCTCTTTGAAGCCAACTTTTCATTATTATTTTTTTCAGAGGGGGTCCCTTAGAAAAGACACGCCCAGGTGCACCTTACCCTCCCTCCGTTGCCATGGTACCAAAAAGGGGTCTCTGTCAAACATGGACTTCCAGGTCTCCAACTGCCATGCTCGTGGAAGGGTTTTTGGGCTTGTGGGAATAGGAAGTCATCCCTGTATCCCAGGCCCGGCACCCTCTTGCTCCCAGCCACCGCGCTGCTTTTGGCCGAGACTTTCACAGCTTTCGGCTCGGGAATGCATGGGTGAAGCAATCATCTGGAAGTCATCTGGAAAAAGAAAAGCACCAGGGACGGGAGCAAAAGGACATCCGGTGACCATAGGCTCGTCAAGCTGGTGCAGACAAAGAAACCTGAAAGCACTTGTCATAGGGTGATCGCATCGTTCTTTCGGTTAATAGGGCCAAGCAAAAGGAAGTCGCCATGAGACAACTCAACGTACAATCGTTCACCAACTGGGCCTTGTAGGAATCAAACCATGTTGTAAACATGAGCTGAGCCTCACATTTGTTACGAGGCGTTGCGGTCATGAACGAGTTTAAGGGGCACACTCCACAGTTTTTGTGAACCACTCCCCATGCTGCGAAGGCTGGGCAAGTCAAATTATTGCTTCTCAACGTCTGTCCAAAATGGGGGACCACTTTTTGGATGAAGGGGACACCGCAGGGGCCCCAATTTTGCGAGGCTATGAAGTCGGGCAATTTGCCCTACACCGTCACCATGATGTTCGGGCAAACAGGCGTTCCCGGACTTCGGATGGATTGAAATACGGGTCCCTATTCTTGAAACATGCACCGGGGCCCCTTTGACGGCATGTGCGGTTGCCCGAAATTTGACCTTCGCCGGCTTCTCACAGGTTTTAATGACTCGAGTCACCTCCTAAAGGTTCGACTGACCGCCTGCGGCTCTTGGTCCCTGGACCATGTTCCAAAACCCAGTCTGCGGGTTCGCGTAATGTCAAGGCATCCAGAGGCGCCTTGCGCCTAGCTTTTACTGCGCTCACGTCCGAGGCTCCAGCCCGGTCGATGTTCACGTTCACGCGTGCGGAGCTTGCGTCGCCTGCGGTGGCAGGAGTCTGGAGCAAACGAATCGCCGCAATTGCTGGTGAAAGATGAAAAGGTGGGTGTTGGTAGGTGTGTGAAAGATGGTCAGCCCTTGGGAGGTTTGGGGAGGGGAACTTACGACCTGGGAACTTCATGGAGCATGGTGTCATGAGGTTACCAGGATGCGTTGAACCCGTGCGCATGCTGTTCAGGCAAATGGTTGGATGGTGGAATGATCATGTGTTTCTATTTGGCAGTGGCTTATGCAAGCCAGCTCTTACGCACTCAATTGGAGTGAGCCGACGCAAACAGAGAAACATGCAGGATGCGTGCTTCAAACACAAATCCGGGGACATGCATACACCAAGCATTGGACCATTGCTTGAACTTCGCCTTTTCGCGTTAAGCGGATTGGACAACCGAGAGGGGGAGTGGGGGTGGCGTTTCGGACAACCATCATGGCCAGCATGTTTATCCTTGGTCAAAGGGGGGGGGCTTCCCTAAGGCTCCCGAAGGAACCCTACGGATGCCTAGAGAACCACAAGGAAGCCTAAGGCTCTCAACTACCCCCTTGTGCCAACCTTCCTTGGGGATTCCAGAACTGCACAAACCACTGGCACAGAAACAAACATACCACTGCCACGCCTGACTTGAAACACGCCCATGTTTGACATCGATTGGAAACCACAAAAGAGATCAGCAACACAAACATAAGGAAGGTTCTTGCATCAATGCTTTCTTGACCTTCGCGCCCAGCCAACCAAACATGCGAGTGGGAAAGGCCGGCTCGTGTTGCGCAGCCGAGGGCTCCGCAGGAGATCTGATTCTGCTTCCTGTCCTTGGCAAACACTTCCAGAAGCAGTGGCTGTGACACCTACGGCTGCCTCGAAGAATCTCGATGTCAAGGCCCCAGAAAGGAAGAGCGCGCTAAAGATGATGACCCTTGGGGTTCTATGTTCTGCGAATCGGAAAAGGTCTCAGCTGATCGCGACTCAGGGTGTTCCAGTTTGGTGATTGGATCCCAGCGATCCAAACACGCCCTTTCGACTGCGTCAGGAGTCTTCACGTAGAAGAAAGCGCCTCTCATCCTTCCAAAACAAAAACATGTCGACCCCACATACTCCCGCTACCCCATCAGGCCAAGACGATGAACAAAGCCATCATCTGAAGCAGGCAGCACATGGGACACGAAATCCAGCAGGGGCTAACGTCTGATTTCAGGGTGTCACCGAGTTTATCTGTGGATTTCTATTGTCTTCTCGGACCTCTCCAAAACTCTCAGGCCGCGGCCACATCCACGGTCACCTGAAAACGTGGCCGCTGCCGACTACCCGGATGCCCGTTTGCAAGAGGCTCCTCCCCCACGGAGGCTGATTGGAATACCTAGTGGTCCATTGCTTGCGTGGAACCTCTGGCCTTGTTTTGGTTGCTTGATGCGCAAAGAGCTTTCATGGCAAAGGCATGGTGTTCATTTTCCAGGGAGCTTGCATGATCTATGCTCAATCACCTGGGCTACATGTTTCCTTTTGTTAGTGAGCGACAACGACCTGCCCTAAAGCCTGTCCTAAAACTGGAGACAAAAAACGACAATGTTTCTTCAGTTGTGAGCGATTCCCTTAAAAACCACCAGAGGAAAAAACAAATCTTAACTAGGTCCTCCAGTAGAGAGGTTGGAATAAGGGTACCCTTTTTCTGCAGTCTATTTTATAACCTCCCAACCAAAAAACAAGTGGGCAAAAGGAAGGGCACCTAGCTGGGGGACCTAGTTGTAAAACAACATCCGGCACTTCCATTTGCCAAAGCCCCCTGAGCAAAACACACATATTCTCAGTAGTGATAGATTCCCTGAAAAAAGAAACTGAAGAACAACAATTCTGAAGCAACTGAAAGGAGAGCCCTTGGGTTTCAATCCATAGAAACCGCTTCCGGCGCTTCGGAAACCGCGCCTCGAACTGCTCCACGACCGGCACCAGCTGTGCCACTGGCGCATTGTGGCCTTGGGTTCTGATGGCAATCCACGGTGGTGGTCCGCAAAAAGTAGGGTGACCCCAAAATTCTAGGGGTTGATTCCTTGTCCATTCTTTTCAACCATCGTTCTTTCCAAAAACCGGCCGTTTTCCTTCGGTGTCCTGAGGTTTTTGAGAAAGAAGGATCCCTGAATGGGGAAGGTACCCCTAGAAACATGGCTTGCCCTATAGAAACAAGGACCAAAACATCTGTGGTCCAATTGCTGGTTTAAGTTTGACCCATATGTTGGGATCTGGGCCCTGAATTTGGAGGCCAAGCGCAAGTGGGATGCAGTTTAATGAGTGCCGTTAAGCTCTCCATAGGAATTCGGACATTTTGTTGTTCACCCCCCCCCCCGGACACTAAGGCGCCCTGACGTTTATCAAAAAAAAAAAAACGCAAAACAAACCGCATACAATTTCTTCCGCTGGCCCATCGGTCGCCAACGCGGTCGTGTTGTGGCGCACTCAACTCACGGCAGTTACATCGTGGAGAAAAAGAGTTGACAACTGGGCACCTGATAACCTAGCAAAAGGAGACACCCCCCGTATTGATGAATCGAGGGGTGCTATACCACAAGAAGCTCCGGGGTCACCCTCAACACTTGCTGGACATCCGCAGGACTTTCTGGTGCTCAGGGAATGAGACACGGAAGCCCGTTTCTAAACCATCCAACCTGGTGGTTTCCTGGACCAAAGCTGGGTTCATTCCAACCAATTTCGCAGCAGGAGGAGCCCTTGGCCCCGAAGTCTCTCTGGGCGAGACCGGCACACCACATCGCAGAGTAGCAGGAAGGACAAGGGCGCCGATTCCTGAGGCCTCAAAGGGCCTGGCGCCGATTCGATCCGAATCGAAGAAAGATTCGATCCAACCGGCCGAATTCGGATGCGTCGTCTGCTCCGAAAGGCTGCCTCTGTAAAACACAAAATTGGATACCCCCAGTTCCCGAACCCTTCCACCAAATAGCTACTATCTGGCCAGCATCCGAGGCCCGAGTCATCCTTGTGGAGTTGGTTCCTTAAAGTTTAAGTTGGTTCCTTACAGTTTCAGCGCCTACGTCCAGTTCCTCGGAGTTTGGCACTAAAATCCGGCCCTCAACCAGCCACACATGCTTGCATGTTGGCCTATGTGTGATGACGGCTCTATTTTGGGATTCTTGGGGTATGCTCATGCATGATAAATCCAACAATTTTCTTAACGCCATTGCTCCAGCAGCCTGCCACTAAAGACATATTCAAAGCCATTGCCCTCTACCACTGCGCTCGAAATTGTTTGCATGAGCCCCTGCGTTTTGCGTTTGAACCGTTGAGGGATGCGAATACTGCAGACCCTTTTATTGCCCAAAGGAAAAAGGGCGCCGAGCTCTAACAGGTTATGAGCCCAAACTGCTCGCGCACATGGAGCTGATGAGGAGGCGGCGTTCCGGCCGGGTAAGCCCTGGCAGGGAAGCTGAGGAGAGCCGGGCACCGGCCGAGGAAGGCGCGCTGGTGGCGGACGAGGGTGAGCCTGAGGAGGATGGGCCGATGGGCGGTGGAGCAGTCCAGGATGCCCATTCGGCAGATGGCCGGGGCGGAGATCCTGGTGAGGCTTCACGGCCAAGGTCAACGTCAAGGACGAGAGGAGGTGTGCCGCAGGCGCTGAGGCCAGGAATGGATGATGAGCAGGTGGTGGCCGCGGAGGAGAGTTCGCGGAGCGCTTCGGCATCTAGGAGAAGGAGTACCTCGAAGCTGAGCTCTATGGGATCCGGGCGGGAGAGCTCTTCGAAGGCGAGCCCTACGGCATCCAGGAGAGGGAGCTCTACAGAGCCGAGCTCTACTACCCGAAGGTCGAGGTCGACGGAAAGGACGGGTGGAGGAGAGCCCGTGGTAAGGGTGAACCCTTTCTGGTCGGAGAGAGTTCAGGAGGAGATGAGGTTGAGAGAAGCCAGACCGGAAGGTTTGCCGCCAGTTCCGGAGTCCGGGGATGAGGAGGAAGTGATGAGGACACCGGTGGGGGCTGCTCAGGAGGATGCAGCAACGCAGAGGAGGAAGGCCAGAGCCTTCATGACACCGGAGGAGCGTGCAATGGAGGAGAAAAGGGACCGGGCCCTGCAGGCGGTTAAGGAGGACATGGAGAAGAACAGAAGAGGTCAGGAGGTGACACCTGGTGGAGCTGGTCGAGGAGATGGTGCGGGGAGCGCCAAGGACCGGGTGGGTGTCGAGGCGGATGATCGCTTGGAGAAGGAGCTGGACCGGGTGTTTGTGGAGGAGTACGGAACGGTCAGCCTGAACCTGGCGGAGGCGTTGAGGCAGCGGAATGAGCTGAAGAACAAGGTGGAGCGCCTCGAGCTCGAAAAGGTGGTAATTGAGAGCGAGGCGGAACAACACAGGCGGATGGCGGAGCTGTGGGAGTCGAGGGCGCTGCAGGCTGAGCGTCATGTGGAGTTGCTGACGGACCAGATCTTGGTGCTGGAGCAGCAGCCGCAGCAGCAGTTTCACACGCCACAGCAGGAAGAAGAGGTGAAGCCACCGAGGATGGAGACACCGCCACCACCACCCCCGGGGAAAAGGCAGAAGCTGGAAAGAACTCCGGGCGGAACCAGGTTACCGGAAGGACCTCCTCCGGAAGAGGAATGGCCCTGTGCGGAGAACGATTGGGTGGTGGACGGGATCAGCTACAAGCCGGCGTGGGCCAGGGGAAGGTCGGCATCGAGAGGAGAAAGGAGGGCGCCCGGGGTGCCGCCGTGGACGAGGTCGAGATCGACATCGAAGGAGGCGGGTACGGGGTGCAGGAAGGAAGAAAGCCATGGAGGAGGGGCAGGAACCAAGGAAGGTGCCGGGAAGACAAAGGATAGAGTGGAGGTGAAGGAACTGCCGAACGAAAGCGGCAGGGCCACGGAGTTGCCGCAGTTGGTGGATGATGGAAGTCCGCTGACGTTTGGTGACTGGATGGCGACTATCGAGCACAATATGAAGGACATCTCCACCTACAGCGCTATGTGGTGGGAGGACGTGTGCGATAGTGCCAAGACGGCCTATGGGGAGTGGTTGTTGGCCAGTCCGCTGGAGCGATTGCGGATTAAGCCCGAGCTGCCGGTGGTGTGCTTGGATTTGCCGCGTACGGAGCAGAGGGGGGTGGCCATGGTCTTGAAGGCACTCCCGGAGCAGGTGAAGAAGGAGCTGGTGGCGAACAGGCAGCTCAGCATGGTGAACATCATCTACCGGCTGTACATCTTGTACCAGCCGGGAGGAGCATCCGAGAGGCAGCAAATCCTGAACGCCCTGCTGGACACCAAGGGAGGAAACGCCTCGGAGGTGGCAAAACAGTTGAGGGCCTGGAGGCATTGGCGGAGGAGAGCGTTGGAGCTGGGAGTGGCTCTGCCGGACGCTACGCTGCTGGTGTCGGCCCTGGACAAGTTTGCGGCGGCGTTGTCGAAGTTGGATCAGCAGAGCAGCTACCGGATGTCGACGGTGAGGGCCGAGCTGAATCTGGACACGAGGCCGACTCAGGAGGGAGTTGAGAGCTTTGCGGAGTACCTCCAGGCGGAGTCCGAGACGGCGGAGCTCTCAAAAGGAGGGAAGGAGGGGGCACCCAAGGTCAAGGCGATGGGGGTCACAAGCAAGGAGGAGACGGTCCCATGGAGGCAGCAGGGGCAAGGAGGAGCTACTCCCGGAAAGCAAAGGGTGGTGGACTTGACCAGGGCGTGCAAATGGTACGCTACGGATGCGGGCTGCCGGTTCGGGAAGAACTGCAAGTTCGCCCATGTGTGGGATAGCCTGGACAGGCAGCGGGAGAGGTGCTGGAACTGCGGGAGCCTTGAGCACAAGAAGGCGGAGTGTCCCCGCCCTGGGCCTCAGGGTGGAGGAGCGGCTGGTGGTCAGGCTGCGAGTGGTGGAGGAGATGCGTCGAAGAGGAGTGTCACGACTTCGGCTGGAGACAAAGGAGCGGTCAGGAAGGCGGCAGGAGGAAAGAGCCATGCGCTGGGGGTGGTGGAAAGTGAAGACTACGAGGAGGTCGTGGTGGAGGAGGCCAGCGGGAAAGACAAGCTGGTAGCAGAGGCAACGCAGCTGCTGAGGAGCCTCAGGATGAAGAAGCTGAGGGCGGCCAGATTGTCAAAGATTGGTGAGTGCCAGAGCTGGGGTCTCCTGGATGGTGGAGCCACCCATGCCTTGAGGCAGGCACGGAAGGGTGAAACAGGCGAGGACCGGATGGTGGAGTTGGCGGATGGACGTGAGGTGGCGATGCAGATGACGGAGGGGCACACCTTGATCTGCCAGGAGGCCACGCAGGTGATCGTGCCGCTTGGGGCGCTGTATCTGCTGGGCTACAAGATCCGGTGGGAGGAGGGGATCTGCCGGATTGAACATGCTAGCCGGGGGCCACTGCCGGTGAGGATGAGGCAGTTCTGCCCTGAGGTCCCTACGGAGGTGGCGTTGAGGTTGGTTGAGGAGCTGGAGGAGTTCAATAAGGGACTTCTGAGAAGGGCGATGGTGCCGCCCGAGAGGAGCAACGGAAGGCAGGAAGGAAAAAGGAACGAGAGGAAGAGCCGGACAGGGGAGATAGCGAAGGCTTGGGGAGATGGTGAGATGGAAAAGGTGAAGCAGGAGTTCGGGAGGTTGTTTCCGGAGGTGCCGGAGACTCTCATGGAGAAGGCGCTGGGCTCTGGGGGCGGAAAAGGATCCGCGTGGAACAGGGCAGCGAGGAGGAGGCATGCAAGGGCGGCCGGGGTGATTTTGCACCTGTTCGCCGGGAAGAGCGCGAAGAAGTTCAACTTCGGCGAACTGGGCCGGGAGGTGGTGGCGGTGGACATCTTGTCGGGCCAGAATGTGCTGGATGAAGACACTTTCGGCTACCTGGCGAAGTTGGCGGTGGGAGGAAGGACGGAGGGAGTGATGGGAGGACCTCCGTGTCGGACCTACTCCTACTGCAGGCACTTCGAGCCGGGGCCGTACCCGGTCAGGGGAAGAGGAGAGGATCGCTTTGGCTATGAGGAGATTGGTGAGGTAGAAAAGGAGAAGGTGGAGGGCGACACGATCCTGATGCTGCGCATGTGGATCCTGATGGTGTTGGCTCAGGGAGGCAGAGAGCTGGTTGGTCGGAAGGCCTGGATGGTGAAGGAGCACCCAGAGGACCCCAAGAGCTATGTCAAGGAGGAGGAGTGGCAGAGGGCTAAGGCCCGGGGGGGCGTGCCGCCTTCTGTGTGGGACTGGCCGGAAGTTACGGCTTTGGAGGAGCTCCTGGGTCTCATCAGGGTGAAATTCGACCAGGGGGCCATGGGCCACGTCAAGCGCAAGCCGACGGTGCTGCTGACGAACATCAAGGATCTGAGGCAGCTGGATGGGATGAGAAGCCCAGGAGTGGGCGGAGGAGGAAGCCGCGAGTCAAGCAGCTGGGCTGAGTGGGCGCCTGGACTTGTGGCGGCGCTGAATGAGGCGATCAGGACGGAGGTGAGGAAGGAGGCGAGGATAGCCAAGGTGACAGGAGAGGAGGCATGGAAGAGCCACTTGGAAAACGGGCATATACCGTTTCGACGGGATTGCCGGGCCTGCATTCAGGGTGGGCTTAGAGGACGGAGCCACAGAAGGAAGGCTCACCCGGCGTGGTCTACGCTGGCGATCGATGTGACGGGCCCGTTTAAGGTGTCGAAGGAGGGGCATCGCTACTTGCTGGTGGGTTCCTACGTCACGGCAGTCTCCGGCAGCATGGCTAAGGAAGAAGATGTCGCTGCAGAAGGAGGTGAGGAGATAGGAGATGAGGATCCGTTTGAGGAGCTTGCTGAGGAGCGAGGAGCGGTGAGAGGAGAAGAGGAAGAAGAGGGAGGAGAAGAGATAGGGGAGGAAGGCGAGCACTTGGACCCGGAAAGGCAAGAAGGAGTGGTCAGTAGAACCCTCATGTTGGTGGAGCCGCTGAAGAGTCGGAGAGCTGCGGAGGTGATCGCAGCTACCCAATCCATGGTGGCGAGGCTCCGGTGGTGGGGATTCGAGGTCACTCGATTGCACTCGGATCGGGGACGGGAGCTGGTGTCGACAGCATTGAGAAGGTGGGCGGTGAGTCACGGGCTGCATCGGACGTTGTCAAGCCCCGATGAACCACAGGCCAACGGCAGAGCAGAGGCGGCCGTCGGGTGGGTGAAGAGGAAGGCACGGGCGCTGCTACTGGCGGCAGAGGTCAATCCGAACCTCTGGCATGGGGCGGCGTTGCAGGCGGTGGAGGTTCGCAACAGGATGATCCTGCGGGAGATGGGAGCCCCACAGTTGCATCTGCCGGTCTTCGGGCAAAAGGTGGTGGTGAAGAAAAGAAGGTGGAAGAGGGAAGCATGGGAGGCCATCACCCAGAACGCGATGTACGTCGGCCCGTGTCAGGATATGACCTACGGGTTGAGGGTGATGGATCAGAAGGGAAGCATCTACACGGTGTCGCAGGTGGTGCCGGAGCCCAGAGACCTGAAGGTGGATGTCCCGGTGGCCGGGGAGCTGTGGACAAGAAGGAGAAGGCTGGTTGGAAAGCAGAAGGATGAGAACGGAGGAGAAGAGGAGAAAGGAGGGGAAGAGGAGGCACCAAAGGTGAAAAAGGTAGAGGAAACAGATGAGGGGATAGAAATATCTCTGGACCCGGGGTGGGTAGGGGTCGGAGAGGAATGGATTGAGGAGTTGGAGAGAAGGCAGGTGGTATGGGCGCAGGAGAAGGAGCGGTGTTTGGAGCTGGTCATGGAGGATATCGAGACAGGAGGCACAGGAGAAGAATGGGCGGAGGTACTCGGAAGGTTGGACGCCCAGCAGGAGTTCCTGGAGGAAGAGATGGTGGAAGTCACCAGGGGAGAACGCTTGAGGATAGGTCTCAAGGCGCTGGAGGCGGTGGCTGAGGAGGAAATGTTTCTGCAGACGAAGATCATCGGCCTTGAGCAGGTGAGGAGGGAAATTGAGATGTGGGTGCCGACGATGAAGAAGGAAGTTGGAGCCCTCCTGGAAAAGATGGCCATCCGGGAGGTGAGAGAAGAGGAGGTGGATAGGTGGGAAAGGGAAGGAGAGCTGGTGCAGAGGGCACCAGGAAAGGCGGTGTTCACAAGGAAAGCCGGTGACGGGAGGCGGAAATGCCGGGCGGTGGTCTGCGGGAATCAGATCCAGGAAGAAGTTGAGGGAGGTTCGGATGTGTACGCGTCCGGGGTTGAAGCAGGGACGGTCAGGGCACTGTTGCGGAAGGCGGCGGCAATGAACTGGGCCGTTGGAAGCTTGGACATCCGCACGGCGTTCCTGAATGCGCCGAGGAGATCTAGCCATCGGGTGGTGGTGAGGCCGCCGAAGATTCTCCTGGATGCGAAGGTGGTGAACCCGGGAGTCATGTGGGAGGTGACCAAAGCCTTGTATGGGCTGCGGGCATCGCCGGCGGACTGGGGGGCCCATCGTGATGACACCCTCAGGAGGTGGAAGGTGGACATTGGGGGTGGAAAGGAGTTGGTGTTGCGCCAGGCGTTCGCGGACGAGAACCTCTGGAAGATAAAGCTGGGGGATACTACGGTGGGGTTCATCTGCTGCTACGTGGATGACATGATGATTGTGGGGGAGACAAACATCGTGGAGGTGATGGCGCAGCATATCAAGAAGGAGTGGGAGGCGACAGACTTGGAGTGGGTCAACGCGGACAAGCCGGTGAAGTTCTGCGGGGTGGAGGTGATGAGGGACCCCTGCGGCGGAGGAGGTCTGTTGGTGGGCCAGGAGGACTACATCAAGGACGTCCTCAACAGGTACGATGGGGAGGTGAAGGAGAAGACCATCCCAGTGCCTAAGGAGATCGAGAAGGATGGGGAAGACGAGGAACAGGATGCGGAGATGGTTCGGCTGGCGCAGACATTGTCGGGGGAGTTGCTGTGGGCGACTCGGACAAGGCCTGACATCTGCTATGGCGTGAACCGCATCAGCCAGCTGATAGCACGTCAGCCGAAGCGAGCCTTTGAGATGGGTATCTACTTGCTGGGCTACCTCAAGAAGACGGTGGGTTGGAAGCTGGAGTTCGGAAGCGCTGCTGAAGGCCACGGAGAAAACGGGGAGTTCCTGCACGAGCGGGGCATGAACACGGTGGAGGTCTACGCGGATGCAGGCTTCGGGCCGGATGGAGGTCGTTCCCAGCAGGGTGTGGTCGTGAGCTACGGTGGGTGTCCGATCCACTGGACGAGCACGAGGCAGCCATTTGTGGCAAGGTCGACGGCGGAGGCAGAGCTGCTGGCGGCGATGGAAGGGGTGCTCCAGGGAGAGGCGTGGGCGGAGATCATCGCCGATCTGGAGGACCGGAAGGTTGCTTCAGTGTGGGACAAGGCTGGGATCGACGTGGAAGGTCGAGACCAACTGGAAGCACTGAAGCTGGTGATGTTGCAGGACAACGCGGCGGCGGTGACGCTGCTGCAGGGTCCTGGTGGTTCGTGGCGGACGAGGCCGCTCAAGATCAGGGCTCGGGCGGCTCGGGAACGGTTTGAGCAGGGCTTTTGGGGGTTGCAGCACCTGCCGGGGGAGACGATGGTGGCGGACATCGGCACCAAGGCCTTGGGAAGCTCTCGTCTGAGAGCGTTGGCAGAGATGATGGGGATGAGAGTGAAGGAGAGCAAGGTCATCCCGGAGGAGGAAGATGGAGACGGAGAGGTTGAGGAGAAGGCCGCGGCGAAAGTGAAGGTGGTGTACGGTGCGGATCATGAACGCGGTCTTAAGGTGCTGATGGGCATCACGTGTGTGAAGCTGGCGGATGCAGCTGGCCTGGAGAACGAGAATGAGGCCACGGAGGAGTTGCTGCTATGGACCGCGCTTCTGGTGGCGGTGGTTGCCGCCTGGGAAGTGATCAAGTGGGCCGGAAAGAAAGCGTCGGGCTGCGTGCGGAGAGCACCTCTGGTGGAGGATTGGGGGAGTATGTCAACTACCGGAGGAGGAGAAAGGATCAAGGCGTTGAGGGGCCCGCGTGAGAGAAGTGTGGATTATGAGCGCCCCGAGGAGGAGCGAGATCAGAGTGAGAGAAGGGTGAACAGCCGCGGGGCTGGTGGTGGGGGTCAAGAGAGGGTCCCGGAGGCGAACTGGGTTCCGGAGTGGAAGATTGCCTTGGATTCGGAGGAGGCAAAGATGTGGGAGGAGGTGAAGAGGGCCTTCCCGGGGATCAGGAAGGCGCCAGTGGGGACCGAGGACCGCTGGATCGAGAAGGAGGAGTTCTACATTAAGGTGCATTGCCGGAGGAGGGTCTCGGAGTTTGACCCGCGAAAGGGAAGGATGCCTGGCAGGGGGATCGGCCCGGAGCGCATCACGGTCATGAGGACCAGCGGGCCTGTCTTCGTGGTTGGTGGAGACTATGAGGTGGGGAGCAGGACACGCCTGAGGGAATGGACAGGCTACAGCGTCTTCAAGAAGAAGGAGACGCGGAGTGAGGGGGTCTTGAGCTGGGAGGATCGCTGAGCGAGACTCTGGTTCGGCAGATTGCCGAAGGGGGGGTGCATGAGCCCCTGCGTTTTGCGTTTGAACCGTTGAGGGATGCGAATACTGCAGACCCTTTTATTGCCCAAAGGAAAAAGGGCGCCGAGCTCTAACAGTTTTCCACCCCCAAAAGAAATTGCGGTATCCTCCAGTGGCTGAAAAACCAGCGCCCCAAAATCTAGTAAACCTTGGTGGGTAAATGGGAAACTGCACCTCCACACTGCCAAAACGGCCATCAAACCACCCTTTAGCTGAAAGCCGAGTTCCATTTGATTCAGTCCGCTGGAAAATGTAAAAAGTCCTGTGATACCTTCCCTTTAAAACCAGAAGAACAAATCACAAATCTCAAGCTTCAAAGGGAAGCTGACAAACAGTCTCTGGATTTCGCCTAAGATCAGTTTACTGGTGATGTCCCCCAAAAAAATCGCCACCTAAAGGGGCATGGCTCGAAAAAATAATCTCAGAACTATATGTTTTCCCTGGTTTTGTAGGCACTCAGCCGAACAACCCTTTAAGAACCAGAAGCCAAGATGGCTGGCTACCTATAGGGAAACTGGCTTCCCTTCAACAAGTCACACAAAAAGGGTACCAATCCAGAAAAACGCAGACCCATTCATACCATCGAACCACCCGCCCCCCCAAACTTCATGGATCCCTGGTCTCCTTCTAAAGCGCCCAAATTTCAAAGGAGCGGGCAGCCCAAACAAAAAGAAGCACCTAAAGCGCCCCAAGAAGCGAGCACCGACCCTTAAATGGAGGCCGCCGTTGCCTCGCGCCTCGCACGTGCACCTCGGAGATCCTCAAAGCGATCCACTCGGAGGGCGCCAGTAGGCCGCCTGTGGGCTGGCGCCCCGGTGGTTCTCCTGTGGCTTCCTTTCAAACCAACCAAAAGGGGGGGAACCCCCCGAAACCAAAAAAAAGAGGAAAGAAGCCAGAACCAACAAGTCTCCGGAAAGCGCTGGGCTGGAAAAGTTTTCTGAGCACCTGCTAAGCTGCTAAAAGTCTAAAGCTTTTGGTGGAGTAAATGGATGGCTGTGAAATCCCTTTCGCACCACGAAATGAAGCCATGGTCGAAACCATAACACTTGTTTTGATTCTTCTTAAAAACAAGGAATCGAACCAGTTCATGGGTTTGAAGGTGCAGGAGTTCGTCCCCAACAAAAAGACACAAAAAACGAACGAACGAACGAACGAACGAACGAACGAACGAAACGAACGAACGAACGAACGAACGCAAGCAAGCAAGCAAGCAAGCAAGCAAGCAAGCAAGCAAGCAAGCAAGCAAGCAAGCAAGCAAGCAAGCAAGCAAGCAAGCAAGCAAGCAAGCAAGCAAGCAAGCAAGCAAGCAAGCAAGCAAGCAAGCAAGCAAGCAAGCAAACAACTACTCCCGGATCAAAGGCAGTTTCAGGTATTGTGCTTGGGAGGTATGAAGGTGAACAAATCCCTGATATAAAGGGTATATACTTCATTACAAGCTTATATCGGTGGTAAACATACATACCTCCGAGCCATACCTGGAAATGCACTTGGCCAGAGAAGTTTCGCACCTATGAGGATCAAAGCACATCATGTGTGTTCGGAAAAATAGGGGATCAACAACAGCCAGAGGTGCTCCGAAAAATAGGGGACCCAAGAAGGAATCCGAGTCCAAACTTTGAAATGGTGAAAACGGGACTTGGCCCAACCTGCAAGGTTTGGAAATGACAGTGAAACCTTTCGGGCTCATTTTTCACCCCTAATTGACCCCCAGGTTTTTCCTGTCTGGCACCTTTGCAAACCTCCAAGCTGTCAAGGCGATGCCTGCCCTTCTCCGCGGCCTGTGTAGCAGTTACTTGGTGCTTTCCACCCAACTTGCAATCCTCGTCAGTCCGCGAGCATGAAGATTCTAACTTGGACACGGCCACTTTGCAAAGAAACAAGATGTGTGTGTGTGTGTGTTTCCTTTGAGCTGGCACACTTGTCCTTGTGGTTTTCAAGAGAACTCACGAGGAAAACATCGAGACCCATATTGAGAGGTCCCTGGTGCCCTAAAAAAAGTCATGTGGCACCGGACTTCCATGCCATCCATTTTTGGGCGAGCTGCCCTTTGTCTCTCATCATCTTTTAGGGACAACCAAAAGGAAGACCCAAGCACACCATAGGGCTACTCCAACTCCGAAAGAAAACGCCAGATGGCCTGAGAGTCGCAGCTGCAGCTCCCCCAAAGAGTCCAGCTCCAATCGCCAGGCCTCTCCAATCGATTTGACAGCCGTGGTCTTTTCACCCAAGTCAGGGGATATTCAGCTAACCCTAGCACCTGTAAATCACTCAGCCAGAAAACCAAAAAACATTGTGGTGTTGGGGTTATGACGTGCTTTTGAGAGTCTTTGGGTCTCCTGGTAGTTTGTGACTTGGATTGGTACGGGAAGCCTCCCCACCAAACCACCAAGCACCACCCATCCAAACCACCAAACAACGAGGGAAGCAAATACCATGGGGGTTGTTCAAAATTACTTTGCCTGGGGACCCCCAATCGCCGGCCAATCACGATCTCATCGCCGCTGTTTCGCTTTTCGCTGTTTTATCTCAAGCGCGGGCCTTCCTCCATCCATACCTGGAAACTGGAAGGAAGTGACATAGCTCGGATGGGCAGGGCCTCACTAGTAAAACTCGTCCAATCGCCGTCCAAAACCGCGGTCCAATCGCAGAATTCGTCGGCGAAACTTCGGCTTGCAGCTTCCAGCCTTTGCCAGTACGCAGATTTAGAAAGCACAGCCTGGGCCTGCGCGGGCGAAATCAACATTCAGCTTTCCAGGCGAAGCTTTTGTGCGAGCCCGTGCAGTCAAAATGAGCGAGATGAGTCGGCACCACAATCTAAACACAGTGCAGCGTCTAAATTCAATAATTGTGTTGCCCTTTCGCGTTTCAATCGCCGGCCTTTCGCGGCTCGAGTTTTCCCAATCGCGCGGTTCAACAAGTTGCCGCTGTTCATAAGTTTTAGACATGCAATTGCGGACGGCCCCCATATGTGCCTTGCCTTGAAACAAGGAGGACTCAGTTGTGCCGGGGCCCCGAAATAGAAGGTGATAACCTTTTTTCAGGGCCACTAAAAAATGGACCAAAGAGGGGATTCCAAAAGGTCAAAAGGTCGGGCAAGTGAGTTTGTCCCTTTATCCACTCGGGGTTTGCTTGCGGGCTCCGGTAAAGTTGCACTTGGAAACAGGATGCAGTGGGAAACTGACGACTGCACCATGCCTGCCTCAGTGGTTGGAGAGGAACATGCTTGACTTGCTGAAGGTGCACATCAAGATCCAGCAATCAAACTAGGTGCCTGAAGATTCATTCTCCGGCCTTTCCTAGGCGTTTTGGTTTCCTGGTAGTTTTGGGTGTGTTGGACGTTCTGAATGGTTTCTAGGAGTTTTGGGCGACCCCCGAACCCAAAAACGTCTTTTTCTGATTTGCGGGCGTTTGCGGGGTTTTGCGGGCGTTTGCGGGCTTTTTGCGGGCGTTTTGCGGGTAATTCCGGGCGGGAAAAATTAAAAAGGGACCAATTCTGCAATCTCACGAACATATAGGAGTTTTAGTGGTTTTAGGCGACTTCACGAAAAAAGCATCGGGGACAAATTATTGAAGAAAAGAGGGCAAACCAACAACACTCGTTCAAACGTGAGAAGGGGCAAACGGCTAAGACCAACAAGAATGTGCTTGAAGGTGAGTCTAAGCAAAGGACAGCAAAGTTCTTTCAACTGTAGTGACCAGGCAAACACGTTGAGCAAGGCAAACTTGTTGATGAGCCACCAAAGGGGCAAACAAATAAGACCGCTTCACACGTGCTTACAGGTGTCAAAGTTCGGGGAACTAATTGAACAAACAATTACCGTCAGATTGCGAGCCAGTGAGAACCAACAAAAATCAACCAGTCAGGTCTGCTTGAAGGGGAGACCAACAGCAAAGCTGCACTTGATTGAAGATGAGACAAAGCAAACATGCGAGACCGGCCACATGTTGTTTGAAGGAGTCAAGACGGCAAACCATTTAGAGCTACAATGCCAATTTGAAGTCATTCAAATGGAGTTCAAAAGGGTCAGGTCAAGTCGATTGGACGGACAAACTAACCAAGGGCAGGTCCTTGGGTGCGCTAAGACTGGCAACGAGTGGCGGTTTGGACTGGTGACGTGGCACACATGGACCATAGCGCCTCGGTGGCACAAGTGGCACTATCTGGCTTTGGGCAGGTTTGGTTAAGTCTTGTCATTTCGCATTTTGATGGCTTTGACATGACCCATCCCATTTTTTGCTTTCCTTTGTCAGGAAAGTGATGAATCACGGTCGCTTTTTTGGCGCGAACGAGGCCAAGACGTGTCTCCCGACTTGCGCAACGGGGAACCCCTCCTGCGTCTCCTCCGGCAGGCTCGCAGTCTCTGCCTGCGATCCGAAGGCCATGGAAACCGTCCAGCACCCCGAAACCGCGGGCCCTTGGCGTAGCTTGCCAATTTCAACCAAGAGCCAAATCAAGCAGGACCCGGTTTTTTGCGGGTCCTTGGAAGACCAAGGAGGGCTGCGGCAATTGACCACTGTGATACAGAAAGCGCTTCCCAAAGACTATCTCCCCCATAAAAAGGGCCGAAAAACAAGGTCCCCTTGTATCACGCAACTGGGCATACACCCTTGATGCTTTAAAGGGAAAACGGTCTTCGCACCCCGAGACGTGAGGTTCCATGGTGGACAGGAGAAAGCGGGCGGTGACGTCTGACGAGGTGTCTGGTCTTTCATGACTCATCTGCATGGACGCAAATGTGTGGAAACGGATCGGCCTGTGGTTCCATGTCTTTGTCTTGCTTGCCACCGGTTTTTTAGGGTCGATTCTTCTTGAGGCACCCAAGAATCGGGTTCTTGGGGTGGTGGAATTCCTTTTGGGTTCCCTCGACACCTCCAAAAGGGTGCCTGCACCCTCAAACTCCCCATAAACAAAGGAATTCACACCATAACTTTCAGGTAATTGCCCATCATTCCGGGAATTTGGAGAGTCCCGAGCCTGCCTCTTAATTAAAGAAAACGAGCATCGAATCCCTCGATTTCCTGGCCTTCTCCAGGTGAGTGGTTTCCGATGCCAGGGTCGAGGTGGAAGCGCGATGCATCACCTTGCCTCGGAGAAAAAAATCCGACGGCAGCCCAGCCAGCGTCTGAGTCGAGTGGCCAGCGTCTGAGTCTCCCTGCGGAAATCCGTAGCTCACCCGGGTCACCGGACTTCAAGTTGCAATGGACTCCTCTGAAACTGCCAGGTGGATGTCCCAAAATTGAGGGATCTCCGAGATTCTCACTCTGCTGCCAGTTGACGAATAAAAAACTCGAGCGTGCACTGGAAGTATGAAGAGCATGAACTTGCATGTGCCCACATGGAAACTGCTCGGGATGACGTTGCTTTGGCTTTTGCTCTGTTGGGTCAATGCAACAGAAAGGCAAACAACACCAGCCAAATAACGGTTGCATACGGGTGGAATCTTTGAGTTGTCCAGTTGACCCTCTGGGATTCATGGAAAAAGGGCACTGTCACGTCCTATCGGGCGGGCAGTTTAGGGCAAGCATAACTCATATCTCGCCAGGCACGCCAGTCATCTGTTGCCCCACTCGAATTTCAAGCGGCAAAAAGCCCCCTGGCATTTCACGCGACCAAAAGTGCAACTAAAGGTGTAAGGTCCAAACAGCGGTAGGTCCAAAACCCGGAGCTTGAAGAGAAACCATGCTGCTATCGGCCTAATGTTGACCCAGGATTAATAAACGGGCCCGTGTTCCCTCCAAAAGTGGTCTGAATCCCCACTAAAAGGGATACACCCCCTATCAAAATCAACCAGGGTGTTTTTCTTACATCCGGGGTTAACATTATTTCGGTGACAAACACATGTGCTCTGCATTTCCATCGCCGTGCTGGCCTTGTCGGCTCTGCTCGGATTTGCTTCAGCTGAGACCAGCGCCTGAAAAGAGGGTGTTCCACTTGCGGACGGGAAGCTCGGGCTCCTCGCGAAATTCTCGACGAAAACACTGGAAAAAAGCGAGGGAAAGGGCAAGCCCTAGATCTACCTGGGTATGAACTTAATCAGGGACCCTTTGGTGAACATCACTTTGGTGGGGCTTTGTACGCTTTGTACCCACCGACCACTCTTCAGGGGGTTCACCATGAAAAAATCACAGCTACCTGTGCTCAAGTCCTCAACTCTCAACTGGGGCCCGCAGCTCTGCTCATTCTTTTCATTCTGACGGAAAACTGAGCGCAGCACCCAAAACCCGCTGGCGTTGGAGAGTTTTCAGGTTTACTCAGATGCCCAGTGGCCAGGGGAAAAAGGGCATCCTGTCTTTGGTTGGTTGAGAGTAAAGGGAACCCTTCCCAAAAAAAGGTAAAGAAAAAAGGGCGCCACTGGGCAAGTGGTTTACATTTAGCACCCACATAGCCCTAGCACCCTCGTGAAACCAGGTACCAACTGCTGACATCGCCAATCCGCGGGTTTTGGGCGCTTGGGTGAACAGCGGCACAGCTGGTAGGGAGACAAACAACCAATCCTGGACAACCCCCTCTGGAGGATCGATTTTTCTGGCGCAATGATCATGGGCACCAATCATGGGCATCTTTTCCCTAGTGGTGAAAGTCATCTTTAATGGACTCCCTAATGGTCACCTGTAGAGGACCTTTTGATCACCCCCATACATTGCAACCTTAGTGGAATAATCAGCTGACCAGTTGGTAGGGCATTGTCCATCTGACGGATCATCATCTGAGCTCACACTTTTTAAGCGAGTGCTCCGGCATGCGCAAAGTGCACGGACTCTGGTCACAGATCCTGGCGCAAAGGGCACAGATCGGGGTGTCTACGGCTCACAACTGGGACCTCAAGAGTCCCGTCACTGAACACTAGGGAACCGATTTGCTCACATGTCTACGTTAATTCACTGACCTTCATCATGCGTTCCCCTGAATTTAGCACTCCTAGGAGTGTGTCTCAGAATGAGGGAGGGCCTGCTTCCACGGGTCCGCCCCCCCCAAGAGGGGTCCTTGTAGGTGTCCTTTTGGAGCATGACACCTATGGTCCCCAAAGGAAACCATCTATGCTTCAACCATGCCCACATTTGATCCCGGATCTAAGTAGACCCCGTCATCTAGAGGTGTTTCCCCTTTAAAAGTGGTCTGATTTCCCACTAAACCCAGGGCTTCCACCCCCCAAAAATCTGGGCTGTGCGTTTTCAGATCCCTTTCTAAAAGTTTAACTGTTACTTGCACTTTTAGTGCATTAAATTTGGAAACCCAACCACTAAGCCCCGAAAAAATGCAAAAAAACAAGGAACCGGACTGTTTTGGGGAACCACCAGGTACTCTGGGATCAACACTCAAAGGATGCCCTTGGCCATCATCCGCCTCGTCCTCATCATCCGGCGACGATGCGAGGGGCTCGGACCGCTCATAGAGCCCCGCAAAGGTCTCGAAGTCGCATTCGTAGCCCTTGGTCTCCAGCTCCTTTCGAGCTGATTGGCTCAACTTGCCCCTTAGGGACGTGGAAATCAAAGGAAATCAAAGGGTCAACCTTCTGGCACCTCTACCAAAAATGGACCGAAATGGGAAAACCAGAAGGTCAAAAGGTCGATTCGCTTTGGGCAACTGAGTCCCAGTTGAGAATGGCCATGATCTTCACAAGCCTCTAGTCTGCATCATCAGCCTTGCGACCCAAAAAGCCATGCTTGCAAAACCAATTAAGCCTCCCCGCAAACGGCAACAACCATCTGCAGGAAAAAACAAAAACAACACGCATCGGATGGCCAAAATCAATTCACCCGGTCAAAACTTGCTTAGGCTGGTGAAGTACTGTGGTTTGCTCAATCACCTTCGAGACACGAGGTTGTCTCCATTTCCGCAACCCCCAGTTTATTGAAGCCAAGTGCTCTTTCGGAGTACCAGCGAAGCTCTCGTGACCCTTACACATCCTGTTTGCTAACCAAAAACTAGATCTGATGTTTTCCGTTCTGGTCGCGTAGTAAATCTGAGTGAACCTGACTTTGTGGTTCATATAATGGAATGACCTACTATAAACCATCCCTTGTGCCTTTTTCTGGGGATGTGTAGGTTTATTCCCAAAAAAACTGCGACAAGTCCCTCCGCAGCAAGCTTAAACTCATTTCCTGAGCGGACGCGCCAAAACAAAGTCCTAAACTTGTCATTTGCCAATGGCATGGTACAAAACCAAAATGTGACTAGAGTCCGAAACGGAACTCAGGGAGTGAGTACAATGCAAAACAATTGAGCTATCTCCAAAATTAGAAGATGCACAAAACTTTCTCTGGGGACTCTGGAGGCTCTGTTTCAAGGCTCGCCTTCCTTTTACCGGTCGTTTTTGTTGCCCCTGCTCCACCTGAAAACCCTACTCTAGGTCCTCCAGTAGAGGGGTGCTCGAATAAGGGTACCGTTTCTTTTTTTTCGGTAGTCTATTTTAGTAGGGGAACCCTCTCAACCAAACAAGGGGTTGAGAAGGGCACCCAGCTGGGAGACCTACTGTGGATGGACGAAATCTTGCACCGCTTGAAACCCTGGAATGATGATTCAACTGCAAATACCAACCAACAATGGCTTCAATCATGCTTTCAAAGTGGTGCCTAAGAGGATTTTGTCCACCCACAGTAGTGCTCCTGGCGGATTAATTGTTTGGGGAAAATCCACTCGACCCAACCCTGAGAGCTCCTGCCGTAGCTCTTCCGAGACACTGCGGCCACTGACTTCCAGCAGCACTGCCGCCTCCTCAGCGTGTCGGATGGGCCTTCGATTACCCTCCCACCTAACATGGAAGTGCAAGACTTTCCGACTAACCAGAGGAAAGACTCGTCTTCCTACAGGGGTCTGTGCACTAACCCACGTTCGCTGGTGGGAGGTAATCGGGGGCCCAACCAAAAGTTGGCATTTCGGGTGCTGGCCCCACCCGAAGAAGACTCGGGAAAGCGGAACTCTCCAAAAAATGATCAAAGGTTCGCGAACGAAGTGGATTTGGACACCTAAAATGGTTGGTGCAAAGCCATCTGGCTTTTCCTTTGTGAGATGAACTGCCTAGGGGGGTTGAGCTATCTGCACTTGTTATATCTCGCTTCGTTGGGGGCCTCATGTCATCAGGTTTACAATGACAAATAATCCTTTGATCTAAGTACAGTTCGGGACACACTGGATTCCGTCCGCCCGATCTTGCAAGACACGACCAAAGGACTGGTCACCACTCTTGCCAATCCTTCTTAATTGGGTATGCTCACCAAACATCAGGATTTCCCCAGAATTCTGTGGTTGAACTACCCCAGGCTTCACCTGCAAAACATACCCTCGCGAATGGAACCCAACAATTGCAGGGCATCAGATTCAGAAGCTGATCTTGAAGGAACTCTTGGTATGGTAGCAAAAACGTTTTTGTTTTGCAGCCCAGAATAAATGAACAGAACCAAACAACTAAAAGAAACAAAACATGACAAGAGCAGTGGAAGAAAAGAGTTCAATACTGAATTGAGATGCAAAACAGGCAAACGATGCTTGTGGCAGTTTCGAAATCAGTTTTGGAACACAGCTTCCTCCTGACTCCGCCCCAGCATTGTGGAAAATCATGAACTGCGTTCCCAAAGTGTCACTTTCAACCAAAACTGGGCTGTCCTAAGAACCCGGCTAAAAGTTTCACTTGTGGCTTAAAGTCTCAAATGCCACCGCTAACCACCTAAAAAGCTCATCCCCTCAGCAATTCCGGATGCTTTGGGGGGGAACCACCCAGAAAAGGCCTGTCGTGCCTCCTTCGGCGGTTTTCCCGAGCCAAAAGAAAAACGACAGAAAAAAAAGGGGAGAAAAAACACGAGGGGAACATATATATTTTTATATCTCTATATATATATATATACATAATAAGAAGAAAAACCAACGAGAACTCCGCGCGCCTTGCCCAGCAGCAGGCCGTCGTCATCGGAGTCGAAGGCGACGAAGGCCTCCATGAGCGCGGCTTGGAAGGCGCCCTCCTCACCCAACTCCTCCGCCTGCGGGCTGCGGGCTGCGGAGGGGATGCATGCGGAAAAACGCGCCGGACGGATGGGCCTGGATGGAACCCCAGTGTTTTTTTCGGAAGCCCCGGATGGGGAGAAAAAAAAGAAGGCAAAATCAAGAAGCCTTCTTGGGTCCAGTGGGAACGGATGGAAACAAACATCATGCAAATTGGAAGCCCATCCGATGGGCTTCCAACTTTGAAGAAACAAAGCGTTTGGGTCCGGGTGTCCATTGGCCCAAAGGAGTTCCGACCCTGGATGGATTTGAAGGGGGGGGGTTCACAGCTCTGGCAACAAAAAAACGATGACGATGTGATATAGCACCGGAACAGTGACCCCTGCACGGCTCTCTGACCTGCTGGAGTGGAGGTAAAAATGGGCATTTCACTCAAAGGACTACTTTGAACACATAGATAATCAATGGGGATGTATGGGGGTTACAGGGTTTGGGATGACCATTGGTTGGACAACCACTTAAGATGTGATACTTCAACGGGAAACTTACCCATGGAATTTGGGTGTCAGGAATATTGATCAACCCCAGCATGAAGAAGGCTTTCCATATCGGCTGCCTGGCATGGAAGCTCTGCTAGCCAAAGGTCCCCAATGGTCGGAATGGCTTTGCTCAGTGATCTCGTGACAAACAAGTAGAATTAACCATTCAACAGACGAGGTATTTCCTAGGCTACCAAGAACTTCGGGAGCTTCCCTTCGGCTCCCGTTTATGGTTTTTGGGAAAGCACCTGTCACCAGATCCTGGCACCTGGCGAAAATCCCCGTGGCGTCATTGAAATGAACGACTCAATTCTTGACAATGAGCAAAGGCTGTCGTGGAGTAAACGTTAGATGGGCTGGGTGAATTGTGAGTGTGCATACTGAACTCGGTGAACATGTACCTCAATTGCCCATGGCCAACAGAGGCCAACAGACATCATCTCGCCTTGTCCAACTCCAAGATCAGCTTGTAAACAGCA